GTGGCGGCAGAAAGCAGACAGAGCCAGGGACCAGGGAGTATGGGATGGATCACAACAAAGGAGGGCCATGCCTCTTGATGATAGCCCAGAAGTCCTCCTGGGAACAAAAACAGTGACTTTCGATACTAAGTTAGTGTTTACAAACGTTGTATCACAACATGAAAAATTTCAATGACAACCTCACTGAAGTCTAACTCTATAGAGAAAAGCGCACAAATCATAAATGTAGAGCTGGGTGAATTTTCTTTCACAAAATGACCAACACGCTTGGGTGACCAGCATCCCCATCAAGAGGCGGAACATGAACAACGTTGCAGAGGCTGCCCAACCACGCCCCGGCCATTGCCTGCCCCCCAACGGCAAGACCAAACATACATTGGACTTGACTTCAAATCGGGTGGAAATAAAACCTTACCACTTTGCCCTCCTTTGCGCCTTTCCTCTTAGTGAGTGTGAGTCGCAATACGACCACTTCATTCACAATATACATTCAAGGGTTATCACGGGCCCAGCATCACACCACATATCGTCGGGGACACAAGAAAAATGAAAAATACACTCCCTGATCTTGCCAGAAAAGATTCCTCTGTACCTACAGTGCTGGATACAAACTCAGCATTTGTTTACATTGTTTCATAAGAACCTAGAATTAATTTATTCATGTTTGCTAAAATCTGAATGTCCATGTCCTACCTCCCCTCAAAATTCATCTGTTGCAACTTAGCCCACAAGGAGATGCTACCAGGAGGCAGGCCTTTGGGTGGTGATCAGGTCATGAGGATGGACCCTCATAAAGGGAATCTATGCCCTTACAGAAGTGGTCCTAGAGAGCTCCCTTGCCCCTTCCCCCGGGGTGAGGATAGAGCAAAGTCTACGAATGGGCTCTCACTAGACACCGAATCTGCTGGAGCCTTGGTTTTTGGACTTTCCAGGCTCTAGAACTGTAAGAAGCCCATTTTTGTTGCTTATAAGCTGCCCTGTCTGTATTTTGTTACACAGCCCAAACAGATAAAGACGGCATTCCATGGAAGCCCACCCTACTGGAAGGAGGGTGGGATTGTCTAGTTTGGTGGGAAGTGGCGGTGAGGATCTGGGGGATGTGGAGAGAAGAGGCACGGGGGCCTCTGCCGAGGGTCCAAGCAACTTGGCTAAAGCCTTGGACTACATGTTAGCTGCAAGGGGACAGCACCCGGGTCACCCCAGGGACCTCCGAGGCACATTCAAGAAGATTCACTTCAAGAATACAACAAAGTAAGCACCGCACGGGGAGAAAAATCTGACACGAAAACCAAAGCTTTCTGAAAACAGGAACCCCAACTCCTGTTAAGTGACAGGTGTCAGGGGGTCCAAGCAGTGGGAAGGAGCGGGTTCTCCCTGCTCACTCTTTATTACTGAGGTTAGTCAAAAACAGCACTTCTTCTGAAGGGACCCAGGATAAGGTGAGTGGAGGCCTGTGCAGACCAGTGTGAAAAGGAAACTGAGGGGGAAGGAACCAAGGGGCCTGGCTGCCATTCACTAGTAGATTCTGAAGCAGTGGGAAAGGGAAGATGCCCATGCACACACATGCATGCATGCGCACATCATTCTGCTGCTCTCTGCCCTGTCTCCACTCTCGAGCTGCCACCAAGCTTCAAAAGCTGGGCTGACAGAAGTGAGGGAGGTCCCAGTTGAGCCTGCCAGACCATGAGTGGGCAGTGTAGTGAGACTGAGTCCCCTGCATCCCCCAAAGGACCACACCCGGGTGAGGGTGAGGGACTGTCTACGAAGGCAGGATGAAGGGTCCAGAGTGTGTGTTTTGGAAAAGCAGAGATAAACTATGAATTGAAGCCAGCTGGAGGCATGCGAGGTGAGGGATGACAGAGTGCTTCTGCCCTCTGCCTCCTCCCACTTAGCAGAGATCCTGGGCCCTTTTTTTGTTCCACGGATTCCTTTAGCTCTCCAGAGAAGCCCTCTGGACACTTCCTCAGAATGTTTGCAAATCAAAGACATCGGACTACAGAGGAACATCTAATAAAATCAGCTTGTGGAATGGCTCTATGTGAGCCTCTTCATCCACCCGTTGGCTAACAGGATCTGGCAGGACATTTAATAAGTACCATGATTTAGAACTGGCGATGAACATAAATGATCCTGTGGAGTATCTACAATAGCTGTAGTTGCCTCGAAACTACCTGTGATTTCCCTGGGGGACCAAGGCACAGATATTGTTAACACTCCTGTGCTGTGTGGTTGATATTCCTCCTACCCAAGACCATGAACCTCTACAGACCCCATAGGGATGTCTTTGGACCTCAGGTTATGAACCCCCAGGGGAACTTCCAAGTTCTTCTCAAAATCACTACAAACTTCAACTTCATCTAACCATACAAGGCCTGAATATCCAAGGAATTTTTCCAAGAACCACAACCAGTTATTTTCAGAGACATAGGCGGTCCCTCCGCATCCTACAGACATGCGGTTCTCAGTGTAAGGGAGTCTGGAACCCCTTTCTGCAGCCCTGTGCCCTCCCTTCCAGGAACATCTTCAGAAAGCCTTCCCCGACTCCTCCCCTCGTTGTCCACACGCGTCACTTCCAACACCCTGCTGTCACCTGCCACCCCTAACACCACCTCCTTTACTTGTTTGGAAATGACAATTGTGTTCTTTCCTCCGTTCACTCAATCTGGGTCAGTGGCTGAATCAGTCTGAGAACAATGGCAGCCCAACCAACCTTGTGAGATCTCCCCCGCGCCACATCCGTGCCCACTGATTCAGCCCAGGTTGCCCAAATCCTTGTCACTCAGGGAACCAGATGAGGGGATGTGAAGGAAGGGGTCTCATGTATCAACAAAGGCTTACTGTGGCCCTACTGGGCTAGCACGGGGTTACAAAGGCCTGGTGCGTGCGCTCCCATTGGGAGAAATGACTCCAGCAACAATCCCAAGTGGACACAGGGATACCTTTACTAGCCAACAGTTTCTTATTAGACACCTGCTAGGTTCCAGACACTGAGGAGGTACTGGGAATAAATAACATACAAATAAGTGGACACCAAAGATCAAATCCAGTTATAACAAGTACTATGAAAGAATTGTAAGAACAATAGGGAAGAAGGTAATAGAGGAGGAGGTACTTTGTTACATGTGGTGGGAGACAAAATCCTCTGGAGAAGGGGAAATTTAAACAGAAAGAGGCCTCAAGGATGAGAAGGAGCCATCAGTATGAAAAGCCGGAGGAAAATGGCCATGGGGATTGGGGGGTCTTTAGGAAGGATCATACATACAGGGAGGGTGAGATTTCAGATGATTGGGAGAAGGGGCATGAGCTTGGCCGGAGAGGTAGACACCTGCCAGATCAAGCACATGGGGGGGTGGGGAGGGGGAGGAGTGGAGTGGCTATTAGCATGGATTCCAGAAGCAGACCAGCTTGGCTAGAATCCATCCAGCTCTAAAACTTCTCTAACTGTGTGGCCTTGGGCAAGTCACTTACCCTCTCTGAGCCTTAGCTTCTTCATCTTTAAGTAGGGATCAGCATATATGTCCTTCACTCACTTGCTAAGTGCATTAAGAATAAAGCACTTAGAACGGTGGCTGACACAGGGTGCATGCCACGTAGCGGTTTGCTATGACTTGTTCCAAGCTCAATGAGAAGTTGGGGTGGGGGGAGTTGAGCCCAAGAGAGACACTACCTGGGTTGTCTTTAACAGATTCTTGGCCCTTGTGTGAGCTACTGGAAGGGATCCCAGAGGTCATTTACACCAACTCCTTCCCTGGCGCTTCTCTCTGGGAAGGGGAGGGGACAGCCCCTGAAGAGCCACCTCTGAGAAAGGCACAATGGCCTTCCCCTAAAGCCTGAGGAGCAATCTCTGTGAAGGGCACAATGGCCTTCCCCTCACGCTGGGTGGGAGAGAAGGTTGAGAGGCAGCGGGCCACAACTTCTGAAGGACTCATCCACCCCTTCAACCGCCTGCCGGTGGAGAGCCCACTACTCCCACCTCAGATGGTTCTAGAAGGGTCCCGTGTCCCGATACCTGGCTGGCTCCTATTCCTGCCAATGTCAATGTCACTTTCCTGGGATTGTAAGTGCCTCAAGGACAGTAGCCATTTCCTTCCCCTCTCACTACCTGGTGACTGACAGAGGCCTCAAGCACTGAGTCTCAGAGCTTTTGAATAATTGATTGGAAAAAGGAAGGTGGAATTGCAGCATTTTTGTGCCTCTCCCAGATCTATAAGCTCTATAAGGAATCTAGAGGGCGTTGGGAAGTCATTAAGTCATGCCCCTGCCCCAGGGCCAGGCTTCCTCCAGCACCCTAGCAAGACTCTTCCTCCTGGTCTCCAGAGCGCATTTTACACTCCCCACCTCGGTAATGTGTCCCGAAGGGCACAGCCTATGTAGGGGGCTCCTTCCAAACCTCTTCCCTAGACCCCTTCTGCCGCACTGTACAATGGGGACACCACCCATTTCCTGCCCCACGGGGCTCTGGGCACAAGCCCATGCAGGGGATAAAAGCCCTCCTGTCTCCAGGGACATCTTCAGAGACACCACAGCAAGCCCCTCCGGCTGGCTGGAGCTGAGGGCTGCTGGGAGGGGGCGAAGGTCCTTCAGGCCCCTCCACATTCACCAGCCTCTCCCCAGACCCCAGGCACTCCCCGCCCAGCTGCCCCTCTCCCGCTCCCAGGGATGCAGCAACCACCTCCCCTCTCGTTTTTCCGTGGCTTGCCCCCTCCTCAGCTAAGCCCGTGCTTTCCCTATACCAGACCCCCCAACTTCTCTTCCCTCTCCCGTCCCCATTTCTCTTCCCCCAATTCTGCAAGCTTTTAACCCCCCAACCCCCCTCCCCCGTTTCCTGCCAGCCGCTCAACTCTCCTCCCAGTCCCTATTCGTCCCCAAGTCCCCTTTCCCATTCCGTCCCTTCCCCTCCCCTTTAACGCTCGCTGACCCCATTCCTCTCGCGCCCCCACCAAGCCTCCCTCCCCTAACTCTTCTCTCCGACCCTCCCCCCACCCCCAGGCCTTCCGGACCCCCTCGGCGGGTCCTCGAGCACGTTCTCCGCCCTTCTCCCCGCCACGCTCGGTGGCGCAAAGCACGGCGACCGCTCCCCCCCATCCGGCTCCCCCGCCGCTGCAGCCGCCGCCGAGACCCCACCGCGCCCCCGGGAGGCCGAGGCGCCGCCCCCGCTCACCTGTTGGGCGGACCGGAGCACGCCGGGTCTCGCCTTCTCCGGATCAGGGTCCCGGTCCCGCTTCAGCACCCCCTTCTTGGGATGCATGTGCCGGCACAGGCAGGTGACCCCGCACAGCGCGAGGATGCTGGTGGCCGTGCCCAGCGTGGCGCCCAGCGCGATCACTGGCACCGACAGCACCATGGTGCCCGCTCCCCGCGCGGGGCTCCGGCCCGCAGCCGCGCACCTACCCCTGC